TCAATCAATCAATCAATCAATCAATCTCTGTCTTTCTCTCACTTTTTGTTTTGTTTTTGTTTTCTGGGACAAAATCTCACTATGTATGTAGCCCCTTGACTGGCCTGAAGGATGGCCTTAAACTCACAAAGATTCTCCAGCTTCTGTCTTTTGAGTGCTGGGATTAATAAAAGGTGATTTCCACAGTACTCCACCCTCTCCTTGGCCATAGCCACGAGAACATGCGTTTTAGGCTAAACTTTCTTTCTTTCCTTACCTCCCTCTCTCCCTCCCTCTCTCCTCCCTCTCTCCCTCCCTCCTTTCCTTCTTTCTTTCCTTCCTGTTTTCCCTCCTTTCTTCCAGGAGAACATGTCTTCTTTGTGGGATCTATGGACATGGCTAGAGAACTCTAACTATGTACACATGGGACAGCAAGGCAGACATTGTGCTGAGCTTGGGGAGGCTGAACAGTTTGCCTGAATCCCTGGAGATGCTGAGATAGCTAGTGATGCATGGCCTGAGGTACAGGTGGATTGGAGGTTGGAGGTTCCAGCCCTCTGGCCCATTACTCACACTTAGCCCTGAGAATTGGGAAAACCCTCAAGAATCCTGACATTTACAGATAAAAGGTCTCCAAGAACAGGCACTGGGGTTTCTGTGTGTGGCTGAGGAGGTGGAAACTCCAGTTCTGGAGCCACATTTCTCCTCTGAGTTCCCCCACTCAGTTAGGATTCTTCTCTTCTGTCTTCTCTCATGGCTCATGATGGCTGATCGAGCTCCAGCCATTTTGTCTGCACTCCATAGGAGAAGAGTGTGCACCACACTCTGTGTTTCCTTCTAGACTTCTTAGATTGTAACGAGAGAACAAAATCCTGCCTCATTGCAAGAGGAACTGGGAAATGCAATTTTTTTAGCCACTTGCCAAAGTAACCAGTTTTTAAAGATTGACAAGTGAAGGCTTGGAAAATACTAGAAGTTTCTATTGCAATATCCAGAAACAACAGAGCCAGTGCAGTTCTCTGTCCTGGTACTGGCAATCACTGTGTACATGGTTGCCCAGATAGCTCTGTTTAATGGCCAAGAATGGGGTTGGTAGAAGCCTAACCTCTCTTGTGTGAAGCCCTGGGTTTCATCCCCAACATCAAGTAAACCAGGCATGGTGGTGCATACATACCTGCAATATTAGCACTCAGGAAGTGAAGGCAGGAGGATCTTAAGTTCAAAGTCATCCTCAGCTATGTAGTTAGAGAGTAGCATGGGCTACACCAGACCTTGTCTCAAAGTGGGGAGAGGGGATAGAGGTACCCAGATTGGTGCTATGATGTGAGTGGGTCCTGAACAATTGTTTCACAAAGAAGCCTAATATCAAGTCTCAGACTGGGGCTCTGCTCCTGTGGAAGTCCAGAGTGGGACCATACACAGACAGAAGGTAGATAAACTGGAGCTGGGGGATTGCTCAGTGGGTGGACACTTGCCATGAAAGTGTAAAGAACCCACATAAACAGCCTATGTGGTGACAGTTGTTTGCAACCACCATGCTGGGGAAGAGGAGACAGGAAAGTCCCCGGGGCTCCCTGGCCAGTCAGTGTAGCCTAATAGTAAGAGATCCGCCTCAAAACTCAAGGAGAATGCTGCTGGAGCGATGGCTCAGTGTTTAGGAGCATTGACATCTCTTGCTTAGGTTGGGTTCCCCACACCCCCATTGTCATACATATGCTCACAGCTATCTGTAACTCCAGTTCCAGGGGATCCAATGCCCTCTTCTGGTCTAAGCTGGCACTGCATACACGAGGTTCAGCTATGTACATGCAGACACTCACAAGAGTGAAAAATTTAAAGAAAATCTTTAAAAAGCACGTAGACAAGGTAGACAGCTCTTGAGGAACGATACTTGAGGTTATCCACATGTACAAACATGCATGGGCACATGTATGCACACACACTGCACATTAGTCAAGGTTCCCTAGAGGAACCGAACTTATAGAATGAATCCATATATACATGAAATTCCATCTATATGGGATTTATTTGAATGGCTTACAGGATGTTGTCTAGCTAGTCCCACAATGGCTGTCTACCAATGAAAAGTCAAAGAATCCAGCGGCTGTTCAGTCCATGAGGCTGGATGTCCCAAATGACCCTCAGTCCACACCAAAACCCCGAAGAAGTAGACTATAAGCCACTGAGTGTGAGAACAAGCAGGCAGAGAGTGAGAGCTCCCTCCTCTCACGCCGTTTAAATGGGTTGCACCAGAAGGTGTGGCCCAGATTAAAGGTGTATCTTCCCATCTCAGATCTGGATTAAAAGTCACTCTTTCCATTTCAAATTATTTAATTAAGAAAAAAAATTCCTCACAGGTATACCTAGCCATTTGGGTTCTAGTTAATTTCAGATGTAATCAAGTTGACAATCAAGAACAGCCATTACATGCAGTCATGTAAGAACACACACACACACACACACACACACACACACGCATGCATGCAAGCTAATACATACACATAGAAAGTAGTTCAGTTGTTGCTTGGGATGATAGGAGGACGTAAAGGCTTTAGGACTTGGTGCTCTAGATGTGATAGAATATTCTAGAATGGACAATGGAGATGGTCACCCTTGTCTATGAATAGACTAAAAGCCATTGGATTGTACCCTTACAATGATTGATTATGTGGTACATGGATTATATCTCAGAACTGTCCTCAGAACCTTCTAGAAGACTGAATGAACAACCTTCCTTTGTCCTTTTCACCCAGCCCTGGCACATGGTAGTCTCCTTAAATTTATGCTTGGCCTCTTCCCCTCTGCTCTCTCTGTGGCCTGTTGGTTCCCACTGCCTGGCTTCCATTGGTCAGCTCATCCAGTCCCACTGCCACCAAACCAACCCAGACACTCCTGGAACTAGAGTTACAGGTGGTTGGGAGCCGTCATGTGGCTTCCCTCCAGCCTCCTTTTTCATTTGTTTCACCCTCTGTCTTCAGTCTCCTGAACTGCAGAGGTAGAGAGGCTAATTTATGAGTGTACCTCCTACTAAACCTGTTCTCACCCAAGAGTAAAAATCTCCCCGACTGATGCTTTGCCCTGTTAGCAGTTCCACAAATTCTAACAGAGAAAAGGACCCATCCCAGAGGCACAAACTGGTAATGCTTTTAGTCTCTTTTACTTCTAGCCCAGAAAAGTAGTTTTCAAGCCAAGCAAGTTGTGCGGTGGTTTGCAAGAAAGTGGCCCCAAAGGGAGTGTCTCTATTAGAAGGTGTGGCCTTATTGGAGGACATGTGTCCCTTTGGGGGTGGGCTTTGAGGTCTCGCTTTTCTCAAGCTTCCCTTAGTGTGACAGTCAATTGACTTCCTGTTGCCTGTAAAATGTAGGACTCTCAGTTGCTCCAGAACCACATCTGCCTGCATGCTACAATGCTCCCCATCATGACGATAATGGACTTAACCTCTGATTAAATGCTTTCTTCATAAGATTTGCTTGGTCATGGTGTCTCTTCACAGCAATAAAAATCCAAACTAAGACACATGAAAACAAATCTGTGGGCATGTCTGTAAGGGAGCTACTAGATTGGGATAATTGACATGGTGCCTCCCACATGGAGGGGGCACCATCCCACAGGCTGGGGACCCCAACTGAATACAAAGGAGAAAGTGGGTTGAGCCTCAGCGTCCATCTTTCTCTGTTTCCTGACAATATACACAATGTGATCAGTCACTTCCTGCTACCATGTCTTCTCTCCATGGTAGGCTGTGTTCCTTAGAACTATGAGCCAAGTTTCCTTCCTTAAGTGGCTTCTGTCAGGATTTGTTACCACAATGAGACAAGTGTCTAATGCAATCATGCAACAAAGTACTACAAAATTTAGTGGAGCAAAATACCATTTTCCCCCCAGGAATTTGAACTTCAGTCAAGGCCTCAGTGGAGTCATGTTTGCGTCTCCTGACGTCAGCAGGGCTGCTGGAAAATTCATCTTAGGATCATCTGAACACTCACTCTTTTGTTTTTTTGATGGTGGCTGTTGACCGAGACCTTAGCACACGTCTGTGTGGCTTCCTCCTGTGCCTGGAGGCTCCTCACAACACGGCAGCTGTTCCTCAAAGGTGAGTATTGAGAAAAAGGCACAGTCTTGTTGCGTACAACCAAGACTGGGGGCACTTAGTGACATCTTCTCATCCTCTTCACCTGGCCCAGCCAGTTCCATCGGCGTAAAAGCAGCCATATCTAGATGGAAGGTTCTAGAAAAGTGTATGGTACAGCCATATCTTGATGGAAGGTTCTAGAAAAGTGTATGGTTAAAAAAAAAGGTTACTGGCCATTTAAAATAAAATATTCTATTTACCTCTTCATTTTAAATGTGTCTCTCATGGCTGGGTAGCCTTATCCTCTCACCTCTCTAAAGGCCTGGGGATTTTAGGTCACCAGGATAAGAGTTTTTCTGCTTCCTGTCTGATCATATCTGAGACAGTCAGAATCCCACAGTTACTCGGACAGAAGCTAAATACTCCAAGAGTCATGCTGGCCTGAGAGATGGAGAAGCCCTAAAAAGGAGAAACCAGCATGATCAAGAATCAAAAAGGGAGAGGCAGAGTACAGTACTGAGAGGGCTAGCATGTGCAGGCCACAGAAGATACTGACGTAGGACAGAGGAGGGGATGGAGGGACAGGCATCAGCTGACTTCACATGGAGTCTGGCAAGTCTTGAGAGGGGTCAAAGCGAGATAAGAGAGTAAGATTTGCTCTATACAAAAATGACTTTGTGTTAAATGAAGCAGTTTTGAGAGGCATTTGGGAGACAAAAAGCATGGGTATCAGTGATGATGGGATAGCAGGGAAGTGTGGGCAGCTGCCTCCCTGGGGTTTATTCACACTTGGACCAGGGGAATCCCTGAAGTCACTGCTAGGAGTCATCACCCCCACATATACATCCACAGCCTTATACAGATCTCCTACACTTGTAAACAGTGTAACAACGCACATCTGAAATCTCAGCACTGGGAGGAAGAGACAGGCAGGGCCAGCCTGATCCATACAGTGCAAACAGTGTAATGACACACATCTGTAATCTCAGCACTGGGAGGAAGAGACAGGCAGAGCCAGGCTGGTCTACACAGTGAGTTCCAGGACAACCAGAATTACAGCCACACCCTGTCTCAAGAACAAACAAACAAACCCAAAACAATCATTAAAAAAATGAAAGGTCTCCTAAATTGTGAATCTAAGGTTTGAGCAAATTTACTGGTGACAAAAGCCAATCCCCCTTCAACAAAGGGGCTTCTCAGACAGCAAGTATGGGGCCAGAGACCCAATAGGCTAGGGAAGAAGTGAAGAAGAGAAAGTCATGAAGACAGGACACACACTCAGCCCTTCACCACAGTCCTCCCACACTTGCCCTCCCAGAGAGTCTAACCCCTTCTGCCTTTGATTCCTTCAGTAGAAATACCAGGGAAGGCAGAAGAGAACCAGCTGGGACTCTTTAGAGGACCACTCTAGAACCAGCTCAGGCCCTCCTGGGCTCCCTGACCTGTGTATCTTAGCTGACACCACTGTGTCCAGGCAGCAAGGACACAGGATCAATAAACCCTACTGAGGGTCGAAGTGGTGGTACAGGACTGTAGTCCCAGCACTCAGGAGCTAAAGGCAGATGGAATAGGACATGCAGGGCTATATAAAGAGCTGGAGGCCAGTCTGGACTATATGAGATTTTAGTCTCAAGAAAAGAAAAGAAAAAAAAAAACAGAGAAAGATGACTTGCATTGAATAGCTATTTGACTCAAAGAATGTGAAGAGTATATTATTTTATACTAATATTATTTTGGGACTGGGGATGTAGCTCAGTGGGTAGAGGATTTGCATGAAGCCCTGAGTTCCATCCTCAGCACTGCAGAAGCTGATGTGGTGGTGAAGGGAGCAGGCCAAAGCACCTTGTCCTAAGCACTGTCATTTTACCTGCAGGGTGAAACAAAGTTCAGGTTTCCAAGCTCGAGGGCAGTTGGTGTAACGGATTAATTAAAAATACTGCAGGATCCCTGGTGGCTGCAGCGGCAGAAACGCTGCAGATTCCCAAGTAATGGCAGCGGGTCAATGTGGCGGCAGGCAGTGGGCATGTCATGAGACCACAGGTCTCCGAAGGTGGCTGGCTGGTCCCGGGCAGGGAGCCACAAGGCGGGCGAGAGACAGACAGATAGGCACACCATACAGAGTGAGGTTGGATATTTATTTAGTGGCTTATGGGGAAAGGGAGTATGGAGAAGAGCAGAGAGGCAGAGAGAGAGACGGAGAGACAGAAGCTGCCTCTTTGAGAGGGAGACAGAAAAGGAGGGCTGGAAGCTGAAGATCAGTCTGCCTTAGCAGAGGGACGGAGGATGGGTAGGTATGTCTTGTCTCTTAAAGAGACAGGACAGACCATTACAGCTGGGACTCTTCCAATAGCTGATCCACCTCCTCCCTAAACCATAGGAGTAGCTGTCATGCATCTTTAGCTCTTTAGAAACATGGCTCTTCCTAAATGAATGTGATTGGTTGTACTAAAAGGCTCCCATTGTCTATTGGTTGACAATGATGAAACATTTAAGGAAGTCCCTGATCTCTAAATCCTAATTGGTGAAAATTATAGCTGTAACTTGGCAACAAATGTTCTTGAATTTTGTGCTTATAAACCCCAGTTCTGCCCCTGCTCAGAGCTGTCGGGAGAACAGGGCTTCTGAGTCCTTGTCCTGCAGCCCTGGTCTATCAGTGACCCTTATGTCATGAATTGTTGAAATCTTTGGAATTTGTAAGTGTTTTCTCTCTCCTTCCTGGTGGCTCCTAACCGGCTAGGTCTAACAGTGGACCAGTGATTCCAGTGCTGGGGACGTAGAAGCAGGAGGATTATAAGTGTAAGTCCAGCCTGAGATAAATGAGACCCTGTCTCAAATAATAATAGTAATGTTATAATAAAAATAACAACAATCATAATGGTGATGATAGGAGCTAGAGAGATGATTTTGTGGTTGAGCCTATCTGCTGTTCTTTGAAAGACCCAAGCTCTGTTTCTACACTTTCACTGAGCTGTTCACCAGCTCCAGAAGAATCTGACACCTTCTGCCTCCCCAGACACCTGCACTCCTGGCACATAACCACACACACAACTAAAATTAATGAAAATTTTAAATAATAAAATATGTGTAACTGTTAAAACCACGTGGCGTACTAGAATGCAAAATTGATGTGTGGGCTTTCAGAGAGCAAGGACTTGAGACCACTCTCACAGGGATTCGGGCTTGGTTGTATAAAGCCAAGCTTTTTCTGGAATGTGGTTGGACTCTTTGAGGTTTGTGGAAAAGTTGGAGAAATACCACAGAGTTCCTTAATACCCGCAGTTCCTCAGGGTGGCTCTGCACACGGCTCTTGCTGTGTCAACAGAGCTTCGGGCTACACACAGAGAAGTCACCTCTCTGTGCTCCAGGTATAGCAACCGCAGATGCCGGCCAATAGGAGCTGCTCCAGAAGACTTCTTCTCGGAATCCTTCCTGTTGTTGCTGCCTCTGGTTGCACAGAGCAATCCCTGTCACCTTCTATTCCCACTGGGCCACAGCCAGCCCCTGCGGACTTTGGTCAGCAGTCAGCAGGAGAGGACTTGGAAGGGGGCAGCCAGACCTTGTCCTGGCCAGTCTGTGTTGGTTCTGGCTTTGCCTGCAGTGCCCAAGTCTACCACTTTGCCCTTTGCCCCTTGTCAATGAGTACCAGTGGTTCTAGATTAGAAGAAGAGAACAAAGGGTTGCCTGAGGAACTCACATGTTTGATGGGGTGAGGGGCTGGAGGCAAGGTAGAGCCCAGTGTGGTCTAAGAAAAGAAGATGGGAAAGAAGAGAGTGCACATGGGAGAGATGAGAATGTTCATGGACTGTTGTCTTTACTGATGTGAAGACAGAGCCATGTGCCTGTTCCAGTCAGGTCCAGTAGCACTGCAAGGACCACTAGCATCCCTCTGACATAGTGGGCTTTTGTGACCTGGCCTCATTCCCCGGGAAGTTCAGTATGAGGGAGACACAGCTTATTCTCCGGGAGCCCCGGTCTGAGGGAGATGTCCCCTGTCTTCAGGGAGCACTACGAGGGTAGGATGGCCTCGACCAGGCTCTCTGGACTCCCTACTCCGAGGGAGCCTCTGCATAGGCCCCTGTCCCAGTCACGGCAGGAACTGCTGTCTTTGCTCCGGATTCCTGTAAACAGAGGTGGAAAGCCCAGGAGCTGAAGCACTTTTTAGTCACCTACTTTATAGTCTTTTTGAAGGTGACTCAGCCGTAGGAAAATCACAGCTCTGGAGTGAACCCAGTAAGCCTGAGATCCAAACTGAAAGGGACAGTAATGAGTGAGAATCTATTGACACAGTCTGGGTGTCTACTGGGCCTTGCTCAACTGGTCACCACAGCCATAGAAACCATTGCCAGAAGCAATGAGGTGATCTGGGCCTAGAGGACACCCAGTCCTCAAGAAGCCCCGCTGCAGGGCTGGCTCTCGATTCAGGCAGGAGCTGTGTACAGACACAAAAGTCCAGCCATGTGGCCTGGCCAGCAGGCTGCTGGTCAAACCACTCTGTGGGAACAGGACAGAGACTCAAGCAAGGCCCCTCTCAGTTTCTGAATCCGCCCTGATCAGCCACACCTGACTCCCTCAGAGCTGCCCTCAGGCTCTAGGTTGAATGGCCATATTTGTGGATGTTTTAAGTTCTCACTTGAATTCTGAAACCTCAAGAAAAGGAGTTGCCTGAAGCAGAATGGATCTAGCTTTGGAGAAAACAGGACTGGCTGTGCCTCAATTGGTAGAGTATTTCCTAGCATGCATGGGACCATGGGTTTGATCCCCAGCAAGACGCATAAACTGGGCATCATAGTAAATACCTGTGAGCTTAGGAAAGGGGAAATGAAGGCAGGAGGCTCAGAAGTTTAAGGCCATTGTTGATGGCAGCCTTCCTGGGATACATGAGACCCTGAAGAGGGAAGCTGGGACAAGAGGAGAGGAAGAACAAGAGAAAAACTGAGTCTAAAACTTCCAATTTTCTTAGCAGAAAGTGGGGGGTACAACATACAGGGGACTCTAGACCTGTTTCTTTCCCCAGGAGTGTGAGAGGAGGGCACATCTTTAAGATGAAAGGGACCTTTGAACCCACCTGGAAACAAAGCTCCGGGCAGGGAAGGGCTTGTCTGTGGCTGGAGTCCCCTGGCTCCCTCCCTTTGCTTGACCCTCCTCCCTGGTACCTGGACACTGGGCTCTGGGCCAGACTAAAACCCATAAGGAGACATGCCGTTTTGAGCTTCTCTAGTGGAGCAGGATGGGGCGGGGTGGCCATGGCGGTGGCTAACAGGCTCCGCCCAGGGTGGGCACATTTCATCACCAGAAGGCCTGGCCAGGGCTGGCAGCTGCTGCAAACCTTGAACTAGATCCCTGTCCTGGCTCTTAGATAAGTCTCTAGGACACTCTGTCCTGGCCAGCAGAATGAAAAGGGCCCAGCTACCTCTGTCCACTGAGGCAGCCCTGGGTTTCTTCAGAGCTGGCATCCAGGCACGAATGGGGGTCCACCTGGTTATCTCCACTGTCCCTACCTGTGAGTATTCACAGGTGGTAAAAAAAAATTTTCATTCCAGGTTATCTATCTGGTCGTTAAGTCCCCAGTAAGCCAGCGAGATGGTTAATATTATTACCACTGTTTTAAAGGATTACGACACTGGGCCTGAGAATGACAATGACCTGCCCAGGTGTCCCAGCTGGCACTTGATAGACCTGAGACTATTATGTCCCCAACCCTTGCTTTTCACTGCCAAGGACCCAGATGCTGCTGTCTCCCTCAGTCTCCAGGGAGAAAGATGCTTAGACACTGGGCACAGTAGACACAGTCTCCAGAGAAATTCCAGTGGCTGCAAGTGCCAGGGGCCGTGGCCAGGGGCCTTCACTTGTCTATAGCAGAAATGGATGCTTTACCTGGTCGCCCTGTAGGTAAGGGACAGTAGCTAACACCGGAAAAGAGAGGTGTCTACTAGGTGCCAGCCTGGCTTAGCTACTTACAAAATGAAGATACTGGTGTCTGGGAGATTACAGGAAGAGCCTTGACTTGGGGCTACCAAGGCTCCCTTGGATGTGACCTACCCAGTGTGTCCTTAGGGTCACTCATGAAGACACTAACGCCTTTTACTAGGTTGCTTAATGATACTGGTCAGCGTGGCCAGCTGACTTGATGATGGGCAGTATGCAGAACACATGGAGGCTGAACTGGTATCTTTCTGAATTCCCTGAACGGCCCACAAAACAAGAAAACGGGAAATGTGCTTGTTCAAGGTCAGCCACTGATTTAAAATTCAAGACTGAAGGACTGGAGGGCTGTTCTGGAAATGCTGATCTTACGATTCTAGCATGATCCTGCCTCCTTCAAAATGACCCCCCAAGCACATTAGTCAGTGTGTGTGACTGTAATGCAGTGCTTGATGTAGATCACCTTACAAAGAAGAAAGGTTTAGTCTGTTTTACAGCCTCAGAGGGTTCGATGCATCGTGATTTGCCTGCTGTTTTGGTTTGTGTCAGCACAGCCCCAGGAAGTTTAAACTCTGTACTACTTCTCAACAGCACTCTGGCTGGGGACCAAGCCTTGAACACTTGGGTATTTGGAGAATACTTCAGACGCAAGCTGTAGCACCAAGAAGGTGAGTTGCTAAAACCATCGCTAAGTTGCTTTCTCAGCATTTTGTTTGTGAATGTTGATGCACTTTGGGCATCCTTTGCAATGTAGTATGAGCTAGTGGTCATTTGCACGCTTAGCAAAAACTCAGCGAGAAACAGGGCAGTGAGGGAAATATAGAAGTGCACGGGGAGGTCGGGTTCGAGAAGGGACAACGGGGGAACATGTAGGGTTTGGGGCCAGGAACATTGGGGCACTGAAAAAGCTTAGGCAATGAAGAGAGAATTTGAAAGAGGTAGAGAACTCAGGGGGACGGGGAGCTCAGTTGAAAACTTTAAGCTGGGCCTGGGGTTACTGAAGAGTCCTACCCACCCACCTGGGGGGGACCTACCCGCCCACCAGTGGTGGGGGCTTCTCTGAATTGTACTGGGACACCTGGCTGCCTTTAAGGCATGAGGACCTGAGTTCAGTCCCCAGAACCCACAGACAAAAGTTGGGAGTTAAGTCTCTAACCTGGAACTAATGGTTAGGGTAGCTATATAACATCAAAGCAGACTCGGTCATCTGGTTCTCTCAGCATCCCTCCTCTCTCCCAAACTTCTCCAGCCTAGGGGCTAGGCTGCCCTTCTCCCAGCTGCCCTTCCCTATATAACCCAGACATTTTGGTTACCCCTCCTCTTTTGGGCCCCCTGGCTGCTGTGCCTGGTTCTCTTTTCTCCCCCATCTCTGCCCCCCCCCTTACATGGCTCACAGTCATGTCCACTCTAGACAATCCCAGCTGTCCCTGCCTCTGGCTATGCTCTCCCACTTTTTTACAATAAGCCTTTCTTCTTTCCTTTTTATTTCTGGTTTTCATTCACTGAGCACAGTAGTACATACCCATAAGCCCAGCACTGAGGAGGTAGAGACACACGGAGATTCTTGGGACTTCCTGGCTGACCAGCCCAATCAACAAGCTCCAAGCTGACTCTAAACACAGGTGTAAAATGACACTGGGGTTGTCTTCTGACTTCAACATGCAGGCAATGCACACACACACACACATGAGCATGTACACACACTCACAAACATACAAGAATAAAAAAATAAAAGAGGTGAGGAGCCTCACTGAATACCTGGCTCAAGTTTTTTAGCTGCCATAAACTGGCAATAGGGATGCAGCTCTCTGTGAAAGTGTTCAGGCCTCATCCCCAAGGTAACTAAACCTGTGTCTTTTTGTTTTCATTAATTTTTGTTGACGTCACCCACTTGTTCCTCTGTCCACCTGTAGCGTGGAGCCAAGGGCATGAAGCCAGAGAAAACAAACCAACAAACTGTAAAGAAGAGGCATTTAAATGGGTACTATTTTATTCCTTGCATGAACTACAGCTAATACTTTGATGGATATCCTTCTGAATGCTCTCCTTCCCTCCATCTCTCCCTCTTTCTTTCCTGAGAAACTCGCAGTTTTCCCGCCTGACCTTCCAAGTGCTGAGATCACAGGCATGAACTGCGCCAGTCTCCCTCCTGGGAAGCACCTTGGACACCCAGAGAAAAACAGGTCTGTGGACTTACATAACTCATTTGCATATATTAATCCGTCATGCTTATTTGCATAAATTACCCTGGACCGCAGTCCAAACACTCCTAATTCCGGAGGACAGGCAGCCCTCCCGCTTCCAGGCACACCATGGAGTCACGGCTTGGCGCTGGGATCTGCGGGTTCTCGGTGTGCTCCATTTCTATCTCCCTGGCCTCTCTTCAGGCAGCTGCCTTTGTTGTGGGCTCAGAAGCAGAGTCTTCAGCCTGAACAATGGTCTCAAAAGGACCCTGGATGTGCAGCTTCTATCTGCACCCAATCCACTTAAGGCTGTTTAGCCATTACCACAAAAGTCACTTCGAAGCCAGGCAGTGGTGGGGCACACCTTTAATCCTAGCACTCTGTAGGCAGAGGTAGGTAGATCTCTTGTGAGTTCAAGGCCAGTCTGATCTACAGTGTGAGTTCCAGGACAGCCAGGAATATACACAGAGATCCCCTGTCTTAAAAAACCAAAAGAGAAAACAGAAAGCCACCTCGTGCCAATTGTGCCCCATTGACACCATGCGCCAGTAGGTTTCCCTGTACAGGTTAAGGGCTTGGAATGTTATTAATAGTGGGTGACTGCTTGGAAGGCTGGGTACGTCACAGATTTAAGGTAACATAGAAATACCCTCTTCCAGAGATAGAGAAACAGTAGCTACCACTCATTCACCAGGCACCTTCTCCATTCCTCTCCTTCCTGTGTTATTTAACCTTCATAGGCATATCCCAGGCTGTTCCTACATCCCACTTTACAGACAGTGAAACTGAGGTACAGGGGTATAAGCTGATTTGCCTAGGGTTGGCTGGCAAAGCAGTTAAAAAACCATCATTCTTCCCACTTCCCAATTCTGTGATGTCCAAGGAAAGAGGGGCTCATATGTCAGTAGCTGTCAAGAGTGTTGCCTAGTCCCAGTGGTCAGTATTACTGCAAAAGGTCCAGCCTGTTTATGGCCCCGAGGCACCTTTCTGTCATTGAATACTGCCTTCCAGAAGACCTTGAAGGTCTCTAACTCTTCTACTGAAAGCAATCCTTATTGCCTGCTGGTGCAGATGGGGTCACCATGGAAATCAGTACCGCTTTTCAGAGACAAGCTGTAGGGGGTGCCAAGGCATGAAACAGGAGACCCTTACGTGTCCCTTAGACTGGGTACTACCTTAGTTATATTCTATGGCCTGGGACCCTCAATCTCCACACCCTGTCCCAGGCTTTTAAGATGCCCACACTCCTCCCACCCCACCCCCGTTTGCCAGCTTGTTCCTTTTCTGAAGGATTAATTGAACTGGAAGTTTCCTCAGACCTGGTTTTCTGTGGATGACCAAGAGGCTTGACTTGTCCCCATGTCTACCGAATTCTGAGAACCTCTTTGTGTGCCAGACTTCAGAAGGGGACCAGGAAGGGATCAGGTCCAGGGTCGGTCCTCTTTGTTCAGCCCTGTGGTGGACTGCAGTATCTGGGCAAGGGTCATGATTGGCCTGTGTAGATCAGACCCAAATGCTCTGTGTGTCCTCATAGAGGAGTAGGGGGCACAGCACTGAGGAACTCCTGAAGGGACTGGAGGAGTTTCAAAAAACTGCAGGTAGGGGGCACCGTGGTGAAGTGCCTGCCTAGTTTATGCTGGGTTCCATCCCTAGTGCAAGAAAGAAAGAACTGAGGGCTTCTGGTGTCTCGGCAGGCACATACCCAGAGACAAGAAAGGAAAACGTGAGGCTGGCAGCCTAGTGGTATCTGCTGGGACAATCTACATATCCTGAGATGGGGGAGAAACTGAGATGCTCATACAAGCTTGGGCTGGGCAGCTAGCTGGGCTCCCTGCCAGCAAGTCAAAAAAATAAATCTGCTTCTCTAAGAACAAGAGGGGAGAGAGAGAGAGAGAGAGAGAGAGAGAGAGAGAGAGAGAGAGAGAGAGAGAGAGTCAGAGACATTGACAGGGAGAGACAGATGATGAAGAAAACCCAAGACCCAAGAACCAGGGTTGGGAGGAACCTTTTGGATAGGAACAGCCTGACTAGTGAAGGTTGGGGACCAAGAGCTGATGGCAAGGGACACAGGGCTGGTCTGCTGTGAACTACAGGCAAAACACCCATTTGGACAGGAGGAGGGTGACAATATTTAAATGGCTCTTTGCCCAATGTTCCCAGGACTCCACTTCCAATCCTTTGCCACTCTGGAGCACCCCTATTCACCCCTCCAGAGTGGCAGTTTTGTTTTCTGTGCTGGGGATGGAACGTGGGACAGGCCAGTGTCCTGCCACTGAGTTCTTCCTCCAACCCCAGTGTACAAACTTGCGTTCTAGACAAAAACAAAAGTGTCCAGATCGCCCCTGCCACCAACTCTTAGAAAATGCCAGGCCACCCACCGGAAACACCTGGGCGTTTCCTAGTTCCTGCCTGTCCAGTGTGGTGCCATCTGCCCAGCTCACATCAGATGCCTGCTTCCTTTTCTGGGCTTCTGTGAGTGACGCAGGTAGGTATTGCCCTCCTGTTTATCTTCCCGACATGTCTTTCTCCCACAGATGATAAAGTTCCATGAATCTCAGATCCCAAGGGAGCTCTGTCTGAGCCTGGCCAGAGCAGCTGCTTTGGTGACTGCGGCACTAAACAAGAGATCTTTGAGTCCCTACCAGTCCTTCAGTCAGCTTGGCTCAGATCAGCGAAGAGTCGACTATCAAGCCCTCCTGGGCCTACTGAGTTTTTTCTGTTTCTCAGAATTGAAATCCCTTGCCTGCCATGACTCTCACGGCCCACCCCTGTTTTCCTAGATTTAAACACTGGCACATTGGAACTCTATGGGTCCTGGTCAGGTTCAAAGTACCTGCCCTTCAGGGCCTTGAGCTTGAGCAGGGACCAAAACCACGTGGCACACAGTTCTGCTTGTCCCATCATTACGCGTTCTGTTAATGGTAACCGTCCTAATACGGAGGCTGTAGATTAATCCTTGCTGTGTGAACTTGATGTAAGCCGAGTTACAGGTATGTCTCTGATGGAATGCAATTTCTTGAATTCAACATGGTTTTGAGTGTCTTCCTAATTATTGTACATAATAATTAATCTTTTTTTTCTTTCCTTGGATTTTGGTTTGTGTGTGGTGGGAGTAGCCATTTGTTTTAGAGACAGGCCTTCTCTGTGCACCCAGGCTAACCTGGAACTCATGATCCTCCTAACCTCAGCCTCCCAAGAGCTGGGATTACAGATGTAGAGATCAAGACCCTTATACTGTAATAAAGAAAAAAGACGAGGGAATCCAAGTCAGCCAAAGACACATAGTAAGACCCTGTCTCAAAAAAAAAAAAAAAAAAAAGAGTCTGGTGATGATTTGGTGTTTGGTGCAAGCTAGCTTTTCCAAATCCCTGATCTTGAGCAGTTCCTTGGCCTCTTTTCCCCCCACAGGCTGGGAATTTAGAGAATCACAACTTTGTTTTTTTTTCCGGAAAGTCCCCTTCCCAAGTTTTCCATCCTATCGGTTCAAGAACAAAGTCTTGTCTAATGAAGACACCTGGGCCTGATGATTGCTTCCTTTTCTGAACCTGCACTCAGTCATGTAGAAGACTACCTATAACTTCCCAGCATGCTTCAGTCACCAGCTAGGGAGAGCATGAGCGCTAAGAGCACCTCAGACTGAACGTGGAGCATCATGGCTTATCATCACCTCTTAGCTTCAGCTTTCTTCCTACTGCTGGACAATAAAGCTACTTCTCCATTCTCACTGGGATGCTTCCAGAGTCTCCCTCCCAAACCTGGGCTCTCATGAGCTGGGAATGGTCTCATGGCCAGTCTCCACGTCCTCGAGTATACAAGTACTCACCTTCAGAAAAATTTCTAGATGCTTTCCCCAAGTGCCTGCACACCTTTTTAAAAATTCCTTTTAATAAATTAATAAATAAATAAATTGTGTGTGTGTGTGTGTGTGTGTGTGTGTGTGTGTATTGTACTACATGTGGAGGTTCGAGGACAACTTTCTGAATTCAATTCTCCTGTCCCACCACATGGGTCCTGCTAATCAAAGACAAAATTTCAGTCTTGGCAGCAAGCACCTTTACCTGCTGAGCCATTTTGCCAGCCCAGGGCACAGGTTTTTAGGCACACTAACATGCACTTCCCCCGTGCACATTGGGAAGAAGACTGGTAACAGTGTTGAGTCAGCAGTTGGACAAGGTGGGGGAGACAGAAGTCGCAACAATCTATACTTTAGAATGGAAGCATTTTAAAGATTGTTTTATTTTATTTTTAATTATGTGCATGTGTGTGGAGTGCAGGTGCCTGAAAAGGCCCGAAAAGGTCAGATCCTTTGGAGCTGGAATTACAGGTGGTGGAGAGCTGCCCAGGTTGGGTGCTGGGATCCAACTCAGGTCTTCTGACTGCCCACTGCTGTTTGATGGAGTGGCAAGTATCAGGGAACAGAGTCCCTGGGAGTCCAGCTTCGGGGAGGGAAGGCTAACAAAACCAGTGAGGCAAAGAGTAAACTAGCTAACCACATCCATAAATTCCCAGAGGCTGCAGCGCTAAGGTGTGGCCCAGGCACTGCTGACAATCTGGAAAGACTTGCTGGTTGGGAACCTTGGGAAGGCACCGGGATAAGGAAGAAGAGGAGGCAGTAGTGAGGATCCTCTGAGTGTGGGCGCTGCTCCCTTTCTCCTTCCTTCCCAGGACGTTGTTACTCCGTCCTCCTTCCTGACCCTGATCCCCACCACATACTCCTCGCTGTAAGAATACTGGTTAACTCTCACTCATGAATATCTCCCTCACCTACCCACTGGGTTCCCAGCCCTGACCCAGGGGTACCTGTTTCTGTAAGGGAACCAACAGGAAGTGCCTGAGGCACTGGCCTGCAGGGCCAGCACCACTGGCAGCCTCCATCAACCACTAGTATCTTGGGTGTGGACAGCAGCAAGCATAGGCTATTGTCTGTTAGAAAAAAATCCTAAGATGAGCCACTCCGCTTGTGCACAAAAATCCAATTAAAACAGATTAAACCAAATTAAAATGCCCATGTTTTTATTAAGTACAGCGTTCTCGGCTGGCCAAGAGCATGGCTGGGGAGACAGAAAACTAGGGAGCACCTGCAAACCCGGGACTATGTGTTCCTTCTCTGGGAGCTCACTTAAATACCCGGTGAGAGTGGTCCTGACCCTCCCCTGGGGAGGGGTCAAGACCTGGCATGCTGGGATTTGGAGTCCAGACCCTTGCAACTCCCAGGCCAGGGGGATGGGATGGATACCAGGGGCTAGGGTGACCTCCCAACTTAACACTGACTCCTGGTGAGAATTGCTACTCAGGGTTACCCCTACAGGCATGTCGCTGCCTCCCTGTTTGCTTTCTCATTCATTCATTCACTCATTCATTCATTCACTCACACATTCATTCAAGACAGGGTCTCATGCGCCCAGACTGGCCTCAAACTCACAATGTAGCTGAGCATGTCCTTAAATTTTGTTCCTCTTGCTGCTACCTCCTGAGTGCTAGGATTATAGGCATGCACCACCATGGCCAGTTGATGTAGTGGTAGGGACTGAACCCAGGCTTTGGGCATAACACGCAAGTACTCTACCAACTTTAAACTCTGCTGTTCTGACAGTCAGAGATGCAGATGCTTAACTGTCCGAGCTGCCTAAACACACTCTAAAAAGGAGCTCCTGAAGAACACTGTGAAGAGGAAGGATCTCTTACTGATATGTTCTCTGTTTTCTTTCATAAGTAAATTATAAATACTTGATCTCTCATTTGAGTTTTGAAAAACTTTCAGCGTCTGTCTGTCTATCATCTAGTTATTCCCACTTTATGGATAAGAACACTGAACTCCAGATGCTTATGCCATGTCCATAAAACCATGTCAGGTTGTGGTCAGTAAGCATGTGATTAGCAGCTAGTGGCCTCTCTTCCCCTTCCCCACCCATCCCCTACATAGACAAGGGTGGCCTTGAACTCTCCCTGTCCCTGCCTACTGAGTACTGGAATTATAAATCATTTCTTTTGTGTTCTAAAGACAAATCTAGAATCTTTGTGGTTAAAGAGGCTCAGATACCATACTTAGTATGGTGATGCATGCCTGTAATCTCAGCACTTGGGAAATAGAGTTCAGGAAGAGCCTGGGTTATATTGCAAGTCCCATATTAATCTCAGAAGGCTAGCACGTCTCAAAACTTGGGGGTGGGAGGAGTGGCAGAGAAGCCAGGGTGGCCAAAGTCTGGGAAGGAGCCTAGGCAGGAAGCTGCAGAGGTGGGGGCAGAGGGCCCAGAGGTCTCTGTTGACCTCTGTTCCTTGGACCTCGTGAGTCTTGTGGTCATCAGTGAGTGTCTGAATCCCCACCTGACTAGCTCTAGTAAATGATTAAGTATTGAGGATGGCAGTAGAGATGGTTATTGTTGGAGGCAGAGGTCAGGAAGTATGACGGACGTGTGCAAGAAGCATAGGTACAGAGCAGGGAGATGGTTCAGTGGGTAAAGTATTTGCAAGTGCAAGACCCCCAGCACCCATGTAAGAGTTGGAGGCAGATGAGCATGTGCAATCTTTGCTGTTCTACAGAAAGGTGGGAGGCATGTATGTATGTGTATGTATGTAGGCAGAACACTGACCCACATAAAATAGAAATAAATACATCTTTAAAAGTAAAAGTCAACAAGGAGTAGAGTAGAATGCCATGCGGAGTTGTTTAAGTTGTTTTATTGCCTTTTTTCTTAGAATAGAATTTAGTTTAGTTTTATACTAGGTCCCTGGGCTATCTACTCTCAAGTTCCTGATCATTTGAGAAGCATCAGGTATGGGTTCCATCTTACAGAATGGTCCTTAAGTCAAATCACATGCTGATGTGGTTACTCCCATGAGCGTTGTGCCACCATTGCACTAGTGTATTCTGCAGGCAGGACACCACTGTAGATCAAAATGTTTGTGGCTGAGTTCGTGTTCTCCTTTGATGGCATGCAGAGTACCTTCTAGTCCCAATGACACCAGCCCATCTGGGGTGAAGGCTCTAGGTAGCCACCAGCTTGATTCTCCTGCCTTTGCCTCCCAGGTGTTGCAATTAAAGACATGTGTCACCATGCTCAGCTGCCTGCTTGTTTTCTAAGGAGAGACAGAAAGGGGGCAAATCTGGATGGGAGAGGAGAAGGGAGGAACTGAGAGGAGTAGGGGAAGGGAAAACTATAATTAGAATATATTGTATGGAAAAAACAATTTTCTATTCAAACAATTTTAAGACAAAAATAAATAAATAAAAAAGCAACAAGGTGGAAGATGAGGACTAGCACTCCAGGTTGTCCTCCGACCTCTATGTGTGTTCCTTGGCATGTGCGTGCCTACATATGTGCACACACAGACACATCACCCACACACATAGCATAGCACACATAGCACTCTAAACTGGAGTGGGTAGTTCCCCCATGACTCTGTCCCACTCCGCAAGTGCCAGGAAGAGGCTGCCTAGGCCAGGCTGGCAAAGTCCACTCCAGGGTCCTGCTCTGAGTCATTCTAGGCAATGTAAAAGTGAGATGTCCCAAGAGAGGAGCCCCACCCTCCACAACTCTCATCCTATTCTGTTGGTTGAGTCAGGCCTAGGACATGGTTTTCTGACATCGGACTTCTGAGGATGTAGTCGTCTGACCCCGTCCCTTCCCACTACCAACCCACTCCTAGCACTTGGTCATTTACCATTAGAGGTTTCTCCAAGGGCCCCTGCTTTCCCAAGCTACCTCAAGTCTCTTCTTAAGAACCACTGAGCCATAAAGGCCAAGACTATCCCAGACACATGGAAAACAATGAGTCAGCTCTACCGGAAGCAAACACACAAACAGGACCAATGTCCAAGACTCACGCTCCCTTCAATGTCCTGAGACAAATTTATCCTGAATATTGTAAACACACAAAATAGTACCTGTAGGCTGATCACAGAAGTCTTGTAAATATCAGACAATAGTTGGAGACAACCTAAATGCCCATCAGGAGGGCACTGATTCGAAATGATGACCTTTCTAAACAACAAAACATTACACAGCTGTGTAAAAGAATAGGGCCTGTACTTGTTAGGGTTTTTGTTTGTTTTTGTCAGCTTGACACAAACTAGGGTCATCTAGGAGAGGGACTGTCCACTGGGGGACTGCCGCCATCAGACTGGCCTCTGGGGGACTGCCGCCATCAGACTGGCCTCTGGGGGACTGCCGCCATCAGACTGGCCTCTGGGGGATTGCCGCCATCAGACTGGCCTCTAGGCAAATCTGTGGGGGCATTTTCTTGGTTGATGATTGTGGGAGGACATGGCCCACTGGGGGCAATGCCATCCCCAGACAAGAACTTGGGGTGTTGACTGATTGTTTTTGGCCTCTTGTCACCAGCCTGACACATCTGAAAAGAGGGACTCTTAACTGAGAATATGTCTCTGTAAGACTGGCCTGCAGGCAATTCTGTAGGGGATTTTCCTGACTAATCATTGATATGGAAAGGACCCACCAACTGTGGGTGTTGCCATCCCCGGCAAGTGGTTCTTGATGGTAATAAGTAAGTAAGCTGAGTGAGTTATGCCAATGGGTAGCACTCCTCCATGGCTTCGACTTTAGTTTCTGCCTGCCTGGTTTGAGGGGGAAAAGAGGACAGTAAGGACAGCAAGGACAGGACGTAAGGACAATAGGCTATAAGATGCAATGAACCTTTCCTCCCTAAATTGCTTTTGGTCATGGTGTTTATCACAGCAGTGGAGAGGCAAATGGGATATGGAGTAAATTTTATGTACTGGCAGAACCACCTTTAGGATGCATATAGTGCTAGGCCTGGTGACTTGGGAAAATCCCTTCCCTAGAGAGAGAGCATCAGCCACCTCCTTATAAGGCCCTAAGGACAAATCAAAGCACGATTCTACCTGAGTACACTTCTGGGA